TTTAATTAAATTAAAGTTTGCGAAAAATTTATTGTGATTTTTATTAAATAAATTCGATAAATCCTTTAAAATAAAGTGGGGCGTTACAGCACACCTTTCTGGTCAGGCTTCATCCCCATGGATAACCGCATGTCCGGATTTTCCATCTTCTGCCACTCAACTCCGAGAATAGGAAATCCTAAAGGGCAACACAAAATAATTCGTGGGGGACAAAGGATTGGATGGATAATTATTGAAATGATAGAAGATCTTTTAAAAAAGGGTGATTAAAATTGAATTCAAAATACAATCCATTTTAATCTTTGCATTATTAGTCAAAACTTTAATATGTCAAGCTAATTCATAATCTGAACAGTTTAGTAATAGCTGTATATGTTCCATTCTTTTCATAATCTTGGATAAAGTGCATGATGACAGGTGTTGGAATAACATAGCCAATATTCTCTGCATCTTCATGCTTGAGTGATTGGAATGCAGTACCGACACAGTTTCCCTTGTCATTAAAAGCAGGTCCTCCAGAATTGCCAGAGTTTATAGCAGCATCTATCTTCATATGAAACATTGTTTTGCCACAAGATATTAGCATAAATTTGTCTAGAGACCAATGATATATAAAAAAAAAAAAAAAAGAAAGAAAAAAAGCTGAATTGCAGGCTACCTGCAATCCTAGAAGTTCGGTTGATCCATGAACATAGGAAAGAATTTCTATCGGCGACACCACCCCACTTGTTACAGAGATTATATCACCCCCGATAGGATAACCAACAACTATAACAGCATCTTGAAGTGCAGGCAGATCCCCAAATTCCACGGGGACACGCCGTCGGCGGCTCTGCACCAACCCGCGCAGCAGCTCCGTCTTACGGATATTCCCGTTGCCATCCGTGTCGATCATCTCGAACACCTGCTTGAACTCGAGGTACACGTCGCTTGAGCTCATGGTACACGTCGGCGGAGATCTCGGACCATTCGTCGGCGGAGCCAGGCCGCCCTGCTTGAGGGGAGGACGGTGATAGGCGTGGCCAGACCGCCGCCGCCGCCTGCTTTTTGTATACGTCCTCGGAAGAGGTCGAGGAGGACGTCGCCTGGGAGCTTAAAGACGGAGAACCAGCTGCAGATCTAGAAACAGATCGGAGGATTGATTAAATTACCTCGCTTGTTAGGGATCGATTGAATTTCCCCGATTCAATTAAATGATTTGGGAGCTCATGTCAGCGCCTGGTATTAGTTATAGGGAGAGGATCGATGTAATGACTCGACCAAAGGGGAATAGAACCAGGCGCTTTTAAGCCCTCGCTCATTAACCCAACCCTGAAGTCGATTATTTAGAAAGCGGGGTGGAGATGACAATCCAACAAAGAAAGGTGAGAGAGAAGAAGGCGAGGAGAGAGAAGGAGGATGTGGAAAATTGGGGTTTGAGGGAAAAAGGAGAGGAAGGAGAGAGGGTTAAATGTTGTGAGAAAGTTTCGTAGTCAATCTTTCCTAAAATTTAGTTCCCAATTTTTAGGAAGATCTTATTTTTAAATTTTTTAAAAATTCAAACAGATTTGGTAGAGGCGGGATATTTCAATTTTTGTCAAAATTTACATAGTAATTCTGAAATTTTAGGCGAGAATTGAAATCTTTCTTTTTGCTGATTTTCTACTTTATTTTTTCAAACAACTATCATTCCCTCTTTATATATTAATAGATAATGAAATAATGCTTAAGTTGAAAAGAAAGAGTGAGAGCCGTGTAAAATTTGTTTAAAAGAATAGTCAACTAACAAATAAAATAATATAACTAAAGGTAAGGAGAATTGAGGTGTCACGAAACTTGTTATACACTTTACAACTCACTCTTAAAAATAATCAGAAAATAATGGTAGCAATCTTGATAGCTTGCAAAATAGCTGGTATTTAGGTATACTATCTTCATCAATTGAAATGTAATCAAAATAATACATCTATTCCAACTCACCAATTGTACAAAAAAATTTATTTGCTCTCGGTTCAAATACATAATCTTGACGTCTGATAAAATTTGAAACCAATATTTCTATAAAATTAAATTTTTGAAACTAAATAGAACTTAATGGCTGAAGAATTTAAAACTTCAAATTGGTCTCGTAAAAATACTAATAAGGTGAGAAAATAATCTCGAAGTTACCGAAACGGTTAAAAATTAGCAAGTTTCATTAAAAATATTCTAATATCTCCGAATTTAATTTAAATAGACAAAATGTCTAAATAAATTAATTATCTCGAAATATTCTTGATTTCGATTAATTCTTTAACTTGGAATAATTGATTCCAGACTTATAAAGTCCATTTCTAAAAATAAACGGACCGGAATTAATTAGTAAACTGGCTCGATTACTGAATAAAATTAACCGAGAATACTTTCGACTTAAAGTCGAACTTATAGCTGAATAACTTAGAAAACTGAGCTCTTAAAACTTGGATAACTTAATAACTGGCTCGGAACTAGGAACAAGCATTATTAATAAAAGTAATTAGTTCATACTTAGAATAATTACTTTTATTAATTACTGAATGGGATATTACAATCTTTCCACTCCAGAGGCTCTTGTTCTTGTAATGTTCAATCTCGGCCTCTCTACTCGTGCTCTGTTCGACCAGGGCGGTTGATTCGTTTATTCGACCAACTTACTGGATCGGTTAACATTTTTAGGTATAGTATCCCATATTACTATTCTAATTGCTAGGTCAAATTAGTCAAGGTTAAAAAAAGAAAAAAAGTGACACACTGCTTTGCGTGACTCGTGCAAAAAGTAATATTAGTTCTCTTTTGATATCTCAAACTTTGAAGGAGCATCTATGATACATAAGATACACACCAATAAACCATCTCTATGTTGATAGGGGGCCATGATGCGTGCTAACATGAGGGCCACCACGTACAAGTGGCATTTACATGTTTCAAGAGATTAATTAAAGGAAAAGTCTTAAGTCCCATTCCTCATTTTCACGGAACCATACCATTGATTGTAAGCCAATAGACTTCAGCCACCTCAATGATTTATTATGGACTTTCACACACCTTATACTTCCCTGTGAAATTGTTGATGTTCGTTTATTCATGATATCAATCATCATGTATTGTAATAAATTAAACAATGCTAATATCAAATAATTTATATAAATAGTGAATGAATTAATTAAAATAAAAAATAAAGTATTTTTTATTTATGATATAATATAAATAAAAAAGAGTACTTTTAGTACAATTTATTTGTGAAAAGTTGTTTTCTAGAAATAATTGCCCATATCTTATTAATTTTTATTATTCAATAAGTTAGTGAGTTGAGCAAACTTAAGGATGATTAACTTTCAACAATAATATGTTTTAGTGCTTTTACTAGTTTCGAATTTTAATAATGATATATTTTAGTGAACTAAAGAAATTTTATATTTTAGTGAATTGCAATAAATCTCCTTATATATTTCATATATATACATATATATATATTTCCCCTTATATATATAAATCTTACTTCGCAATTTCAGATTTGTGATTGGCTACCTTATTGTTCAAATTCATCAATTAATTTTCTATAGTTAAATTACAAACTTTAAATTTTATTAACCAATATTTGTTTGAAGATCTTTTAGATTTTCAAGAAGAATAGATAGCAATTTTTCAAATTATCATCAATATCTTATGGTAAGTTATTGTGGCAATATGATAAAATTTGAGAATCATATCACCTTGATTTTATAACAAATCAACCTAAAATTCTACTTTCATACTCTTATCAAATAATAATCTTACCACTTATTTTGTTTTCAAAAATTCCAAATACACTTCTATCTATACCATTAATTAAATTCGGTCATTTCATAGTAAAATCGCTCACATTATCCTATAAATTCGGACATTTATTAACATTAATGTGCACTCGCAGTGCAGTTAGTTTTTAACGATTTTTTCCTAAACCAAACTAAGAACGAAATAATCAGTTTAATAATTATTTTGGTAAAAATGTATCGTATATTTAAAAATATAGTGAATAATACTTGAAATGAATTTTTTTATAAACTATCCAAATCAAAAAAAATTAAGTAGTTTAGTAATTTATTAGATTATAAATACTTGACTATTACGTTTACGTCCAAGTTAATATTGACCTATAAGTTATGAATAATTACTTATTTGACTTTTATATTTGGAACCTAAATTTTGACTACGCAATAAATCCCCTTATATATATATATATACTATTTCACAATTTTTTAGATTTGTTGTCGGTTACCTTATTGTTCAAACTTATCATCTAATTCTCTGTAATTAAATTGCAAAGTTTAAATTTTATTAACCAATATTTGTTCAAAGATCTTTTTGATTTCCAAAATAATACATACCAATTTTCAAATTATTATCAATATCTTATGGTAAGTTATTGTGGGAATATGCTAAATTGAGAATCATATCACCTTGATTTATAACAAATCAACCTAAAATTCAACTTTCATACTCTTACCAAACAATAATCATACCACTTATTTCAAAAGATTCCAAATACGCTTCTATCAATACCATTTAAATTCGGTCATTTCATAAAAGAAATAAAATCGCTCACATTATACCATAAATTTGGATATTTATTAATGGTACATTTCCTACCAAAAATGAAAATGGCCATATGATAACTCAAATAAAATTGCCCACTTTATACCAACACCGAATATATTAATTTTTCCGATTTTATACCATAAATTGATTAATTAATTTCAAGAGGCAGGATTTTTTTGAAAATTTTCAAAAAAAATTTAAAAAAAAAAAAAATAGTAATAATTACCAAGTTTAGTTATTTGAAAAAAATTAGACATGATTTTAGTTTATATTTCAGGAAATATTTTAAAACGCGTATAGCGTAATTCTTCGCGTTTTGGTCTTGATATTGTGTAGCGTAAATAGCGTTGCGTGTTACGCAAGCTATTTGAGTATAAAAAGTTATTGTTATAGAAATATTATATATATACTTGCATATAATAAAACTTGGATGGTTGATTCAAAAAATTATCATAATATTTGAATAAGCTTAAAATAACATCTAAGAATTATTTCTTACAAATGTTTAATATAAATATCATAATATAAATATTCAAATAACAAAACGAATATAGTAAAAATAAAAAACAAACAACGAAAATATAATAAGATAAGCCATAATTTAATTTTAAGCATATACATTGTAACTAATTTTTTTAATTTGATTACAATTTAATTCTAACCCCTAGATCTGAACTTTTTATTCTTAAATTTAAATGTCTAGTACCCAACAATATAATGATATTGTAAGAATATTGATTTGGCATCATCCGAAAAACCTAAGTGTTTTCTAGAAGATTTTCTGTTAAGCAAGCAAAATAAATTAAAGGGAAGTTTTCTATTTATTTACTTGTTAATTAATTAAGTTCCTATTGTTTATTATTTATAATATATGTTATATATTTATTATAATATGTATTATGGAATCCTAAACCTTTAGGAGAAGGATTACATAATATATATCCTATATATGTACTTACCATATATGCCACATGCATTAATGAGCTTGATTCTATGCCATAATTAGTTTTCTCTTTCTTGTAGGACAAGGAATAGGTGGCAAGGACTATGAAAGGATGAGCAATTTGTGCATAAGGAATTCTGGACGTTATCTAGAAGATCTAAGGAGGATTTGGAAAAATTCACCACAAGATCTTTGAAGATTTGGAAGATCGGCTATTTTAGGAAAGTTGTGTTCTTACACGAGTCTGGAACCACGAAGATTTCCATTGACAACTCAATTCTGAAGATCTCCAAATCACATACAATCAAGGGAGATTTACTTTCCATGTTACTACACTATTTTTGGGAAGAAGATCAAAGGAGATCGTGAAAGAAGGAAAGAACTTGGAGAAGACTCCAAGCCTAAGGAGTTGTATATATACCCTACTTGAAGATCGAATGAAGGTTGCTGAAATTATTATCTTCCATTCTATATTCGAGCTTCAAGCCTTTGTGTTTTATTTTCGTTGGTCAGTTTTCGGTGTTCTTACGTCATCGAAGAACTGAAGTCTGTTTTGTTTTCTTTTCTTTGTTTTTCATTCAAACACTTGTGTGATCAGTGCTTAGGGATTAAGTATTGTCTTTAGCTCGAGGGATTTGAGAGGTAAAATCCACGGGACGTGGTCAGAGAAGTAGTTGATAGAATCGTGTGTAGTTGTGGCTAGGCTAGAAGGGAGTTCGAGTCGTGTAAGTCCAAACTATACAAGTGTGCACAAACGGTTTATCAATGAAAGAGCTCTGAGGGGAAGTGGGACGCTTCCCTGAAGAGTTTTTAAATCTTCGATTTATTGCTTCCGCATTTTATAATTTTTGTTTTAGTTCGTACTACAATTAGCGCACTCCGTGACAAATACCTACGTTTCAGATATAACAGACCTAGACCGATATATATTGCACTATTCAACTTAGAAATTTGCATTTTCAAACTTTTTATTTGAAATCATCACCAAAATTTTTAGTTTTTAGTCATTTAATAATATAACTCTAACCCCTAAAAAATACAAGTCTTTTGAATATTTTATTGTTTAAATGTCATTGCAGAAATATAGCGGAATTTAGTGCAAAAAAGCATGCTATTTCACATTTCGCATAAGCTTCTTAGAGAAAACGCTAAATATATAAAGTTACAGCGCGTTTTTTGAAAGAAAAAAAAATACAAAAAAACAATATAGTGAGGTATAGCGAACTATTTATAACAGTGATTTCAGTAAATACAAACCATTTTATAAATATAGATAGATAACAGAGACACAGACTTTGAAGCTTCCCATTTATATTTTTGTATGTTTTTGTGATCCGGCACTAGAAATTGTGTTTATTTTCTTATTATTATTTATATTTTAAAAAGTTTAGGCAGGATTTTAGTTATATTTCATATACATTCTAACTTTTTTATAGATATAGATAGATAACAAAGACAAATTTTGAAGCTTCTCATTTATATTTTTGTATGTTTTTGTGATTCGATATTAAAAAAAAAAAATTGTTTTTCTTTTTTTATTAATTATTTATAGATAAAAACTCGCATCAATATGACAAAATAAAAATTTTCTATGCATAAATTCAACATTCTAAATTTATTTATAATCTATTTGTTGATGCTAAGGAATTAGGAATTAATTTATGAAAAGAATATATAATGATCATGAAATGCACAGAATTCTATGCGTTCTTCTCTTAACTTATTAAAAAAATTAGATACTTACCAGTTTGTAAGTCCACTAACTCAAATATATTTATTATTAACTAAATTAGTAAAACTATTGTCTACAATAGTGTACATGTTGCGAACGTGCGTCTTCATAAAATCTAATGGCTAGTAATAACTATCACCATCCAATGACTCATATTAAAGTAACGGCACGGTACCAACGGTACTGTAGCCGCTCCCTTAATTATATGATGGAACACATTGGCATTGTGCGTTTGACTACTATACAAAATTCTGAAGAATGACTTTCACATACAACAAATTTTCTCTTACAACAATGGTGTGCGACTCTTGTTTTCTCCTCAGCATATATACTCTGGACACAATTTCCCCAGATGTTGGACTTGCACAAAAAAAAATTAAAAAAAAATAAAAGAAATTAAAATAAAATAATAAAAATAAAAATTGGTGCCCGTTGTTGTGGTTGTTCCCTGGTAAAGCCACAAACCAGCTACACTTTTGCGTTATGTCCTGCAGCTTTTGCCTACAATATGATATTTCCCGAAAATCTGGTGAGAGGCAGAAAAATGATTGCGTAAATAGAAAACAAACCCATTTTATGAGGGTAATCAATCGAATCTAGCTCACAAACAATCAAGACAGAAAGAAAGAAAAATCAGTTTCTTTAAACATTAAACATTACACATGCCTTTGTGAGGATCATACCGTTGTTACAAACTTCACCCATTGGTTTGTGAAAAAGAAACATATTTGAAGAGGTAATATTTTAGGACAAGTATCTGGATCAATATAATTAAACAGATAGGTTGAATAATACCTTTTTCAGATACTTCTTGTGAAGTTTCATGGCACCAGAGCGTGCCTTTTTGGCATCAAGGTTACCACTAATGTCGTTCAGAATCTGAAAATTCAAATATGAGGACAACACTTGAGCAAATAGTGTATACAATCATAAACTAGCTCATTACTTATTTACCTATAATTCCAGAATTATGACTTTCTCAAAGCACAAATTCATTTATGAAGAGGTATAACTGTTAGGGAGTTCGACCCGTCATATTTTCTCGACAAATAAACACAATATTGCTATAAAATGTGTTACTTTTGCGTAGGTTGTTTTTTAAAGTATGCATACACAAATGTCAATGATTGTCTAATCGTAAGGTCCGAGGCAGCCTGTTCACAAGGCTACGGATACTTATGTCCCTTTAAAGGGTAAAATTTCATAATGAGAAAGTAATTCGGAAGTATAGTACACTACACAAAAAAAAAGATATGTATCTTTAAACTAATTTTTTTAACAAGATCATATGAGATATATAGTTGAGAAGAAACAAAAAGTAGAGTAAAATAACCTTGACCACATCATCTAGGCCGCGGGCTTCTGTGAGCAACTTGGCACTCTTTTCCTTTAGGACAGTGGCTACAAGAAAAACTGAAATAGGGAGAGGTGCAATATCACCATTTCTCATGTTTTCTCTTTCGAATTTTCCGCATTGCCTTCTTGATTTGGCCCTCTCTTTAGATTTCTCTGACTTTTCACAACTGGAATCACTGTCCTCATACGTGGTAAATAAATCAGGATCATACTCCAAGGCCCACATCATCTATTACAAACACTCCAGGATATGTTAAGAATGCTAGATTAGCTTATTTAACTTTATATTTTCGGATACATAATTGTTGGATGCAAAAATTAGAAAACTACCTCCCAAAGGTACAACGAATCACCAAAAGAGAATTCTCGGCGGAACAAAACCATAAGCATTCGGAATGCAAATAGATAATCTCCCCCACCAATGGTTTCTGTTCAACACAAAATAGAGATAGTTTATAACCTCCCCAAACAACTCGCTCGACACAGACCAGATTATTCATTTCAGGGAATCACAACTTTATGTGAAGTTCTTGAGACTGACACAACGCTTTCACCTTTTCACGTTTTGTTTATGATATAAATTTTGATTTTTTTTTTTTTTGGAATTGCTCGCTCATGCGTGAGAGAGAGAGAGAGAGAGATGATTATTATCATTTCATGAAAGGTAGAGACAATCAGAATCCATGGTTTCAATATCTTTTGACAAATAAAATATATTGATGCACACACATTCAATTGGAAGGACACACATTCAATTGGAAGGCCGCACTAAAATGTAGAGAGGACACTACCTAAATGCTTATGAAGTTTGGGATCAACAACTTGTGCTACTGAAGCAAGATTAACAACTTGTCACTCCACTCCTACAGAAACGTCAGTGCACCTGAAATTTCCTCGCTTTAGAGGAATTGCAACAAACAAACAGAAAACAATATCATAAGCTGAAAAATGGTAAACAATTCTATTTATGTATTTTTTTAAATTACCAAACAAAATTCCGTTAACTGCAAGTTTGATTTGCATAATGGAGCAGAAGAAACAAAACTTTTTTAAATTTCACCAGATTAATTGCTGAGCAGATCTTTTATTTTTTTTTTTTAAAAAAAAAGCAATACAAAAATGTATAAATACATACATAGAGGGAGAACTATTGAAAAGGTAAATTTTCTGAGTTATTTATAACACAAAGAGTGCTGGTTTGTATTCTAAAAGCTTGACATTATTTACAAACGTATTTTTGGTTTTTGAATGAAAATCGAGTTTAGTCAAAATTATTCACGTTGTGTTTAATTTATGTTCAATATTATGCAAATTGTTATAGTACTTTACATCAATATCAATATATATTGAAAGAGGTTGATGGATAATTCAAAAGTGGAAAGTTGACTTTTTGTTTAAATAGTTTGACGTACTTATAAAGGAATTTTTTTGAATAAATTTTAAAATTAATTTGTCCTTTTGCATGAAATTAAGTTTTCAAAATTGCATGCTTAAATATTGTCCTACTGTTTTGGATTTTTATCATGCACTTTAATTTTCAAAATTGTAGGCCAAAATATTGTCCACTATTTTTGAAGAACTTATGTGTCATATTTTTTGAAACAATTACATATCAATAAATATGTTTAAAAACTTAAATATATTTAAAAATGGACGACAACAAATTTTTGATATTACATTTTCCACAATAAATCTCAAACTATGAAATTAGTCATTTACGTTAATATCCCAAACGAATATTTGTAGTACTTTAATTAAATATAAAATCATCATGATGTTTAAAAACTGTGTATTTATCGTTTCTCATTAAAAAAATAAATCAATGGTAGAAATTAAATTATATATGGTAAATGCTAATTTATTACAATTAATTTATTTATATAGTATTTTTTATAATAAGTACTTAATATATATTTATATTATATAAACGAAAAAATTTACTACGTTTAAAAACATAATAATTTATATGCAACATATCAATGCTATGTAGTAACTCATGTTGGTATCGAGCTATAGACAATTACAAAACCAATCGATTAATTTAAAATTATAAAACTAATATGTTTATTTTTTTTTATCAATATGCATAAAGTAAGAAATAATTAACTTATCCTCTGATATACAATTTATATTTTTAATATATTGTCATTTGTTATAATTATATACTACATGAATCATAAAATATTTTTTTTCATAGAGTTACATATATTTAAGGAAATGAGAAAATTTTATTTAATCAATCGGGTGAATGAATTAGGTTAATGCTAACTATTAGTTGATATTTAAAATAGTCCAAAAATATGACACAACTGGGATTGATCTCGGGTGACCAAATTACGAGTCAGTTTGACCACGCCAAATCTATTATTGAATTAAATATAATTCTTCATATTAAAAACACTATATTACAATAAATGTAATGTCGTTCATACTCCAAATAATCATATTAAGTTACTTTTATGACAACATGTTCAATGATTTGTGAACATTTATATATTATTTTATTAATATTCATGTGAACAAAATGATATTGCATTGTAACTTTATTAATGTACTGTAAATTTAAAGTTCTTAGAAGAGGACCGTTTTCAAACAGATACAGTTATTTATTCAATGATTTATTGGTTGCATCAGAATTTAATTTATTAATATTTTCAAATATATATATATAGTACTTTTTATAATAAATTCATTAAAAATATTAAATAAATATATGAACAACTTAAATTTTTTCATTGTTTAAACTAAACGATAAATAATTATAAATCTTCATTTATTGAAATATTATTTTTATTTATATTAAAAATAGTTTTAAATGTAACAGATTTACTTAAAAAATCGTACCGATACTACCAGATCCGCTAGGACGATGTTGATCGGTATTCTAGCAAACATTTTATTCAAGTGAACCGCACTGATCGATAAATCGGTTTTCGGTCCATCCGGTCAGACTGTTCGGTCCGGTACAAACAATGGGTAAATCATGACTAATGTTATTTATATATTTAATTTATAACATAATCGTAATATTATTCCCGTGCATCGCAAGGGCCATGTACTAGTTGTAGAGAACATAGTTCATCATGTTGAACTAAAAATTATATTATCGGTTTCTCGTAAAAAATGAGTTTCGGTTCGCAACCAAGTTAGAATTGAACAAACTATTGTGAAAGGTTGTAATGTAATTTTGAATTAGTTGGTCTTGACTAATGGATTACACTATTACATTTAGAATGTATTGAACGAACCACAGAGACTAACCAAATAAATAATTTAGACCTAAGTTATTTCTTGTACTCTTAAGTCAAAAGATAACAAAAGGGCTTATGTATTTAATAACATTACTTTGATTTACAAAAAGTTGAGATTCATTTATTGCATCAAGAGACTGGGTGATTGGATAATAATATTAAAAATAGGATGTGTCATTAAAATTATTTACAGTCACTATGACCTGCTGCGTCGGGTTGATGACGTCCCACTGGATTAAGTTTCGGCAAGGTTCAGTGGTACTAATTTAAGAAATAAGAAGATAGTTAATAAATTAAATTGTCAGTAGTTAAATTAAATAACAGATATTATAGTTTAACCATAGGGAGATATATCGAGTGAATAAATCTGGAGCCAAATTATATGCAATTTGAAGTTAAATTGGAAGTTCAATAATATTCCTTTAGTGAAATGGAATATTATTCATATGAATTAGGAGTAGGTGACTAGAACCTAAGTTACCTTATCCTAGGGGGAGTCCATATTTAAAATCTCATTTGGGTCCCTGCTGTAGCCTAAAAAACACTAAGTCCCAAGAGACTAAACACAAGTTTTTTCCTAAAATTTTCAGCCACTTCAAGAGGAAGAAAGAGATAAAAATGTGACCATCTAAAAAAGAGAGAGAAAGACAGTATTTCAGTATTCTTCCTTCTTTCCCAAGACTAGTACGGAGCCCGTGCGATGCACGGGTGCACAATTTTAAGGCTATTTATCCAGGCTTATAATTATATATATAAATAAAGAAAAATGTACGGGATATATATAGTACGTGACCCGTGCGAAGCACGAGATATATTTATTTGGAGAATATTATATTATAAGATGCAATATTCAATAAAAGTTTATAATACGCAAGAAACTGTACAATGTTCAATAAAAGTTTTATAATATTCAATTGGAGTCTTAAAGTCTCTTGTACATTAAGACTACTGATAAAATAATATTTTAATCAATGAGTTTCCTTTCCTTGTAGCCAAATTGTGAATGTGATTTGATGAGTACAACAAATCGATATATAGTTGACTTGCTTTTTTCATTGTAGTTTTTTTTTTCTTTTTTTTTTATAATGAATTTAAAGATATTCTAGAATATAGCAAAAATTAATTTTTTTATTACAATTAGGAATTTTACTAAATATAAACTCTCAATCTATGGTGTTAATCAACGTTTAAGTCTAAAAAATTAAGAATTTTTACCTCTTTTAATCAACGTTTAAGTCTAAAAAATATTAGAGTTATTATAAGTTTTTTTTCTACATCTTTTAAAACATTAAATATGAGCATGTTAGGGCTAGCTTGTAAAATAATTAATATTTATCTCACTAAAACATTTATACTAATAAAAATTTAATTTTAGCATATAAATTTATCCCTTGATATAAGAGAAAGTAACAGTTTTACTTATTGTTGTTCACCATATAACATTTAATTATTATTTTATTATATAAAAAAGAAATATTGTTAAATAGTGTAGTAGAATTGTTATAAAATTATATGAATTTTTTTTTTTTTTTACAATATGGATTTAATATTTTTTTTATGATTTGATAATATAAACAAATCTATACTTAACTTTTGACAAATAAAACAAATAAATACTTTAGTACGTATTTAATGTATATACTAAATAGGAATATATTTGGTATAATCAAATACCAAATATAATCAAATAAGTTAAAGTGTACATTTTTATTTGGTATTTGATTTTTTTATTATTAAAATCTTTTTATCATACTTACCTTTTTAAAATAAAACAAATAAATAAATCAATTAAATAAATAAAATATTATAATACAAAAATAGTAATGACATTTAATGCAGTTGACTTTTCTGGATAGTAAATGTAGTAAATAGAATATCATTTTATATAGTATAATACGGAAATAGTAATGTAATAAATGCTGTTGACTTTTCTGGCTACTTAATTTGGTAAATAGTACCCCCTTTAATATAAGTATAGATTTGTTCACACATGAGGTTAGGGAGATTCGAGACGTGCGTCGCCAACAAAATTTTAAACCGTAAATTTCCAATACTAACTTTAGACCCGTTGTGCTATCGACGTTCCTCACAAATTGCAAGAGGTTTCTTTGCTCACAGAATTCAAATAGTATGAATGTGAACATCCAAGCATGCATAAACTATGAAAAAAGAACTTTCTCAAGAAAAAAAGGAAATGTTAGTTATGGTACCAATCTCCGCATTAGACGTTCAAAGCACCAAAATGAATCTGCTTCATCTTCAAGAAGAATAATCATTGGAGAGCAAAGATCACTCATACCTGTTTATGAGACAAAACTTTAGAAAAAGACCTTATTGAAATTACCAGATATAACTCTAACATTTAGCTCCCACTTATACAGAGATAACATTGCTATCAGCTGTGTATTTGGAATAATCCAAAAGCACTCTATGATTATTCGTATAACAGAAAAATGGTTGGAAAGATTTTAGCAAAAACTTGGTTTGCAGCAATACTTACAATGTACATTTTTCTACTCTATGGAAGGGCAATTGCAAGAGATTTCTATGACAATTTATTTCAAGAGAAGAGCAATTTTCCAGTACAAGTTGTGCACATGCTAAGAAATGAGCAGTTAAACTATAGCTCATAGGCTATTTCGGAGCCTTGGTCTAATTTCAAAATAATAAATATAATAAGTATAAAAGAAAATTTTCACTTACATTCATTGTCTAGGGGGTGTAAGTTGTAGAAATAGAAAGAAAAAGAAAAGGGGTATAATAGTTTTGAAGGATAGATGAATTTCTGTGAAATTAGACTAAACATTGATAAAAGTTCTGTAAATAACATATAATTAAAAACGGAGGGCGAGGGCAACTTAAATAGAGAGAATAAGTAAAAGCAAACCTAACAAGAAAGTTACATTTTTAAACCTACCTTGACCATACCCGACATCTGAATCAAACCACGAGTAGACAGATAGGATATCCCAGAGTTTTGACAAATTTTCTTGTTTGTCATAAAACTTTAGCGTTCGGTCAGTACGGACCACGTCAAGACCTGGCAAAATTGTCACAAAATAAATTTGATGAGAAAATACGAACTCACAACGCAGAAATAACACAGAAAATCGATTCATTAATAATCAGTATTTACCAACCTATTTGATGTAATGTGAGTTTCCAGTTAATCTCTCTCTTGTCCATAGGACCATCGCACGGAGGTTGCTGAGTGGGTGCTATTTCAATATAAAAATTGATTCATTATAATCAGTAATGAGCATGCAGTTGTAACTAAATTGAGTTATACCTTGCATTGCATTATAATAAGGAAGCTGACTGGAATTCCATTATTACCAGTTTCTGTTCGAAGATTGATTTGCCCAAGTACAATAGGATCTTGAGTAGGTTCGCCATTTTCCGTGATTATCGGTGCTGTGACAAATCTTCCACTTCCAATCAATGGAAACATTTGTTTACACACTCTCTTCATGCTATCATATTGGATTCTGAAAGGATAAACATGGGAAACAACACAATGGTCAGGTTGGAAGTTACTAAATTAGATAATTATTATTTATTCTTATTCAGCAAGTGTTTGGATTTGTGAACAACACTCATTGTCTTTTCCTTTTGTATCTGTCAAACATAAAGAACACTGCATAAGAGCTAGTGAGCTAGATAGATCACTTTCAGAGTTTTAGAAACTCCTAATAATGGAAAAGGTGACAGTTGATTATCGATATCCATTTCACCAAGTAACTCAAACAGCATATTTAAGTTTTATAATAAGTTCATCTAAACGTGGCGATTGAGAACAAGATTAATCTTAATCAATCTTGAGGAATAAAATTCATTGGGAAGTAAAATGTATTTCCACGATGCCCTTTTATTGTTGATTGTTCTCTGCCTCTGGGCACATGCATCTCCCGGATGCAAGCAAAAGAGGTTGAATATCACTTCAAATAACTCTATTAAATTAAAGAAAATTAACAAGAAAGAAAGAGAGGTGCCGCTTGCTAAATGCAAGACTGTCGTATAAAATTAAACTAATTATGATATTGGTTCCCAAAGTTGTAACCACAATTTAATTGGGTAGACACGGATTTTGCAGCACATATCAGAGATCCCCTTGTTATATTCTCGGATTTTACCAAATAGTTAGATTTATAATAATCGATAGCTTCAGTCTTTTGGTAAATAATTTCGATTATCTGATGTGTCGTTAAAATTATTTACGGTCATCGTGTTCTGGTGCGCCACGTTGATGACGTCCTCAAAATGAGCTCAAAAGTTCGTTATGCTAAACTCTGCAGATGGATTACTGGGGGTGGGGGTGTATTCAATTGGGATTTCTGAAGACTTTTAAAAACTTTTTAAGACTTCAGAAATCTTGGTGTATTTAATTTAGACTTCTCAAGACTTTTAAAAGTCATAAAGTATTCATTTAGGATTTTCAAAAGTCTTACAAAATCCTAAGGTATTTAACTTATTTGATACTACAATTTGTTAAGATTTTTTAAGATTCGCTAAGATTTCTTAATCACAAAACATATACGAAATCTCACTCCAAATCCCACTGCAGACTTACGATTTCATAAGATTCCTAAAAATTCAAAAATCTTGTATTCATTTGGGATTTCAAGTGACATCTTGAGACTTTTAAGATTTGAGATTTGTTAAGATTTCCAGATTTTAGAGAAATTATGTGAAATCCTTAGTCTAGAGGTGGGATTTGAAGTAGGATTTCGTATAAGGTTTTTTGTTTAGAAATCCCACCAAATCTTAAAAAGTTTTAACAAATCTTATTTTCAAATAAGTTTAATACATAAGGATTTTGTAAGAATTTTTAAAATCTCAATTGAATGCCCCAAGACTTTTAAAAGTCTTAACAAATCTAAATTGAATACGCCCAGAGTTTCTAAAGTCTTTAGAAATCCAAATTAAATACACTCCCCTTAAAAAATCTCAATTCTCAAAAAGTCTCTAAACTGTCACTCGAAATCCCAAACGAATCACCGGCATAATGAAAAAACAAAAAGCTTTAATGTTACTAGTTTTTGATAAATTAGGTTGACTAATTATATTGTTAAGTTAACCAATTAACGTTAGACTTTTAAGCATAGGGAGATAAATCGAATAGATAAATTTGAAAATGAATTAGTTATAATTCGGGGTTGAATTTGAAAGTTTAATAATACTTATTTAGTGGAATAAAGTATCATTCGTGTGTGATGTGTGTAGGTGGACCAAAGTCGAAGTATCGGCTTCACATGGGGAGTCTGATTTAACACCTCATCTTGGTCTATGTTGTAGCCTATAAATACACCAAGTCTCGAACTTTTTAGCTTTTCTCATATAAAAACACGAGGGAAAAACGTGAGGGATGCGTGACATATGGATAAGAAATTGAAGTCAATTCAGTCTTCTTTGTTCTTTCCGAGATCGAACGTGAGTGAGACTTGAGACAGGAGATTCGAGCAGTCGTCGCCACAAAGATGAGTTTGGAGAGGTGTCAAGATATACAACACAAGATCGTGACGGCAACCTGTTTGTCCAATCCATAGACCGTGTAAGTCAATACAGAGTCTGCAATTTTAAACGGTAAGATTCGAATCCGATTGTTATTCTGCTGCATGTAGGATTCTTTTCTTAAATTCTCAATTGATTCAAGGCACAAATAGAGAGCGTTCATCACTAAATCAAACAATTAGTATTAGAGCCATGGTTATTTCGATTACTGTACAATGATCGAAAGAGATCATACATGAAAAATTTGCGTACAGTGTAGCACATAGTAGTGTAGAATTGCATGCTTAAACTGCAAGGTTCTTAGATCCACTATTATGGCCACGGGAGTGTATGATTTTACAGTTCACGTATGTACTTTTAAAGCCATGGACATGTCGGGAAATTTTTGGGTTGGTGTTGTAGTCCATAAATACACCAAGTTCTGAACTCTTCTCTCACTTAGACACGTCATTAATCACAAAATTTTTTAGCTTTTCTCATGTGTTTAAGAAATACGTGAGGGATGGCGTGACATCTACGCAAGAAAATTGAAGACAATTCAGTCTCCTTTGTTCTTTCCTGACATCGCACGTGCGCGAGACTTGAGACGGGGAGTCGTGCAGTCGTCGCCCACAAAGATGAGCATGGAGAGGATTCGAGATATACAACAAAAGATTGTGAGGTCAACCTATTCGTCAAGTCTCGTAGACCGTATAAGTCTGTACATAGTCGACAATTTTAAACGATAAGATTCAAATTCGATTGTTAGTTCTTCTATGCATAGGATTCTTTTTTTAGATTCTCAAACGATTCAAAGCACGATGGGCGAGTGTTCTTCAATGAACCCAGCAATATCAAGAACAAAAGAAAAAGCAGGAAAGAGATACACTTTTTGGGATGCTTTGGGGGATGGTTAGTGATGACAATTGATGGGGGCATGCTTATTTTGCTCTTTCTTTAGCAACCCGATAGATGAGTTAAAGCAGTCCGTAGTATAAAGCAACACATTATTCAAAAAGTTGGGAAACAAAAGCATGAACCTTAACAGACCATGCACATGGAAAGAAATACCGAGAAAAAAAAAAATCACAGCAAAAGCACCCGCATTGTTCAATACGATGGACAGCAAAAGCATGCAACTTTAAGTCATAACAGAGTATGCAAAGACAAATCTGGATAAGATAGTCATTGCAGTAAGATGATAGTAATACGTACCTTCGACTCTGACGTATTTGCTCTCGTTCCTCATAAGTGCTCATAGGATCATAACAACCCAACAAAAATTCCCAAACTTCACCTCTAATTGTTGAGTGAATACCCTGTTCAGTGACAAACAGATTTCCTTAATTGATCTCTCTCATTCTTTATTATTATTTTATTTTCAAATTTTAATAAGCACCAGAATTAAATCGTAACTGTCTTTTTTTCTTTTCATTTTTCTTCATCGTAATGGATGTGTAGTAAAACACAGATAGTATACGACTGATGAACAACAGTTAAAACAAAGAAGGCTCAAAATAAAAACTCATTCTGACATGATAAATTTGACACTGACACTTCCTCACCCCAGTTTCCGAGGGTAAAAAGAAGAATCTTTTGTTGAAGAAAGAAAACAATTTACAGACTACAACAGCACTTTGCCAAGAAAAAAGCAAATAAGTGTACAGAGGAACAGTCTCAAAGTAACATTTCCAATGTAAGAAGCAGAGCTATAAACAATTCATGGAGAAGCTTACCCCACGATGAATTCGGCCGAGTGTTTTGCTTATATCAAGATGACCTTCCGGAGAGAAAGCAGCTATCCATTTTCGGACACTTAAAGTTTTGCCAGCCTAGTTTAATAGAAAAAGATGCCTTTTTAATACATAGAGTTGAACCATAGCCTGAATTTTAGGTTACGTAGAAACGAGAAAGATTTCTATTAAAATCCAGACACAGAACTCTCACAGTGTAATGAGTTAGCCCTCTGGAAATAAATCAGCATCACAGTGAGCTTAATTGAATTAGCTACTAGAGACATCCAACTACAAGCCAGAGCCAGTTATGCTGAGTGAAATAATACTCGAGATAAGTTATTTTTATTAACCTCACACTTCTTAACCTTCAGAAACTATTATTGCCTTTGTTTTCAGAATTTATACATCCAAAAAGTGGTATAATAGAAATGTCTAAACAACCTAGCATGACGAGATAAACTCCAAACATGTAAATGCAAATTGAACAGGATTTTAAGATATCATTCACAGAATCTAATGCTATTTCTCAGACGATTCGTAATCTAACATTGGGGAAATGCAATTCGGAGCTCAATTCGAAAAACTCAAGATTAGACATTGACAAGATAGAACATTTCTTACTTGTCAGCAGATGAAAAAGAAGAGGATGGTAAACAAACCTTAATTCTGAACTTGCTTTCAGGAACATCGGTGCATTCTGGGCGAACCTCGTAATAAGAATCAGCTGGGGTTCCCGGGTCCCTCCGAATAATCTCCAACATTCTTACCTAATTAACAAACAATCCTTTCCTCGGAAAATGTAAAAACAAGGATCTGATCGAATATGGAATAGACGAATATGGATGTTGATCTCGTTTAGCAAACATTCGATCCGAACAAGGCCCGTTTTCTATGCTTTGTTTGTGGAGTGGATATTGATCCGCACTTGTAAGTCTAATGAGGGGAACGAACGGTAATGGCGGGGGATCGAGGGACTTGGTGGCAGCTCCGCTTCATTCGCGGGTAACAGTCAACTGCCGGAGGGTGGTGCGTGAATGCCAATCGCTGAAAACGGAGCGTGGCAACAATGCCTACTCAATTTTATTCAAACTCTTTTACTAATTCACGGTTTAATTTACGGGCAACTTCTCCTAAAATTTCTAACTCCTTTTTCATCTTCCTCCTCAGTCCTTATGTTTTTATTTCTTCCTTTGAACTCCTCACCCCTTAATTTACTTCCTCCTAACTCCCTAGTGTTAAAATTAAATCAAAAATAAAATTACTTATTACATCATCCCACTACAAACAACCTAACATATTATTTTATTAGTTTCTTCTCTCTCCACTACTAACTTTTTTAATTGTTTATTATTTTCCTTTTCTTTCTTTCTCCATATATTTTTTATTATTTTCTTTTTATCATTTTTTACTATTTATCTCTCCTACTATTAATTTTTATTAATTTATAATAATTAGTATAAATTTATTTTTGTATAAACTGTCCAAATAAAAAAAATATATATATTTTACTAATCTTTATTTCATATAAATTTATATTATACTAAATCTATAAATTTATATTTTATGTCGTTCAAATTTATCAACTAATTTTCTAAAATTAAATTATATAATTTAAATTTTATTAAAAATTACTCTATCTAATTTTCAAGACAAATATATATCAACTAGTACGATACATGTGTACTATACGGATACGTAAATATACTAATATTTGTACAATAGAAAAACTAAAATAATTTATTTCCTATATTGTAAAATTATGTACAATGAATATATAAAAATTATGAATAACTAAAAAAGTAATAATTAATTTAAAATGGGGTCCGTATTTTTGCACTTAATCTTATTATTTTATTTAAAATCTATGATAAAACACATTAAAATGAGTATTTTATGGTTTATTACTGAATTAGATTTTAATTATTTTTGTTATAAAATAATATATGTTGTATTCATATTGTTGAAATTATTTTTTTAAAAAAATACAGTTTTATTTATATTGATAGATGTAATTATTTTTTATTTTATATATGCAATATGGAAATCAAATCCAAGATCATTAAAATATGATTACTTTAACATACAAAAATAAAATAAAAATAAAAAAATTATAAAGATTTAAAAATAAAAAGAATACATATTTATTATAATAATTATTATATGAATTAAATAGGAAAGAGTAACAAAAGTCTATGGTAACTTGAGAAAAAAACCCTAAAATAGATTATGGTAATTCTCAAGCCTAAAATCGAATATGTATATGTAGGAATATGCCTAAAATAGTGTATGAATTGTCTTATGACAAGTTATTATAAGAATATGCTAAAAATTGATACCACTTATTTTATACCCATATCAAATAAAATTCAATTTTCAAAATTAAAATTCATACCACTTATTTTATTTTTAAAATTAAATATAATTCTATCCATACCAAATAAAATTCATATCATTTAAATTTGGACATTTCATGCCAAAATAAAACTGCCCTCATTTTATTAATCATAATACTCAACATTATTCTATTCTAAAATATAGTGTCATATAATATTACTAAAATATTTTTTAAATTTGACAACCCAATTTTATTATATGCAAATATATGATATTTCTAACAAACAAAAATTTTATACTCTAATAGCTTACGCAACACAAATTTCTACTTACGCTGTGTAGTATAAGAGGCAAAACACGACGAATTACGTTATAAACATTTTAAGACACTAAAGGAATATAATTTCAATATAAATGGTCGTTAAGGCGAGATTATATTATTTATTGTGAAATCCCGTGCGCTAAGGACTAAAATTTTAAATATTTATTTGTTGAAAGTTAAAAAGTTAAAATTTTAAATATTTATTTTAAAAGATAAAAATAAATTTTAATTTTATTTTAATCAAAATATGTGATAAAATTAAAATATAAACTATTTATAAAAATAAATTTATTTTTTTTAAATAAAATTTTAGAAAATATTGTTTGTGAATAAAATTTATGTTTTTGAAAAAAATAAAAATATATAAAATTAATACCCGAAAAATTTCATTAAGTTTTTGCATAAATGTATATTTTGAAATAATTATCTTATTAGATAATTTTACTAAAGATATTTAATATTTTAATTCTAAGTACTTAAAAAATAAATTTTAAGAAAAAAAGTATTGTTGTTTACATAATTATATCAAAATACAAATTGATATGGAGTTTTAAATCGAAAAGTAGAATGTAAAAGTAGGCCTTATATTGAGAATAACTTAAAATTAAAACATAGAAATGAAAAAGTACAAAAATTTAGGGCTTATTGTGACACAATAACAAAAAGTCAAGCCCTACAATGAAAATTTTCCGCCATGCCACGTGGATGTTCACGAGTGATTTGGTTGAGAAATAGTGAAAGTTAAAACATATATGTAAAATTTGGAGTAGTCATGTATGATCATTCAATGAGATGAAGTGTATTAGAAATTAAAAATTTTCACTAAATAATATTTATAAATTAAAAAATATGAAATCAATATGTAATACTCCCCCTATATTAATTTATTAAAATGTTATATGAAATTCAAATTGTGCAAAATTATATAAAATATGTCTATTTAAAATTAGTACACAACTCGTATGATGTACATAACTGATAATAAGTTACATTATTTCATTTCAAAATATCTGTCATTTTAAGATTTTTATTCAATCCCCGCTCCTCTTCTCTGCTCTGCGACTCAACCCTAATCGCCGCTCCTCGTCTCTGTGATTCGCTGTCGATTTGCCTTCCTCAGTGACGGCGGGGCCTGGCCAGCGGTCGCCCCTGACCGCTCGTCCTCTTTGGATGTCGTGCGCCCCGATTTGTTGCGGTTCTGCTGCGTCGCTACTCTCCAATTGACGGCGATTTGGAGTCTCAAGATGTTGTCCCCTTGGTTGGAGTCCAGTCGGCGATGGGTGGTTTCCTTCCGGCCACCGGCGGACCCTCGATTAGTGATGGTAAGTGCCTATCGCTCTCTCTTCTTTGCCGGCTTTGGAGTTCCTGTTGGTCGTCTCTGTTATCTCCGGCGGGGCTTCCAGTGGGTGGTTGTTGGCCGCCGGAGTACTGCGGTGGAGCTAGGCAGTGTGCGGGTCTGAGGATGGGGGAGGCCTCTGTTGGGATCTGTGAGGATCTCGTTATGTACAAATCACGAATTCAATAGCAGACGTAAACCTATGCGCAGCGGATCTACAGGTTTGACGGAGAGAACTTACGGCTTAAAATTTATGTAGATCTGGTTGACCACGAATGGTTGACCGCAAATCACGTCTTGGGTTGCGCGAACAAGATCAGATCAAAACCGGATCAAACGGATGCAAACAGATCAAAACAAAAATTGCTGCCAGGCACCTTCCGGCGGCGCGTGCGGGTGCGTGCGGCATCGGAATCTGGCGACGTTGGCAGCGATGGAAAGCTCTCGTCAAGACGGTCGTCTGGGTATACTGTACGTCTCAATCGGACTTCCGGTTAGTTCTGTAGGTCAAAATCTATTTCGTCTCGGTTTACCTACAGATCTTCTACTGTATTACTCAATACACCCTTCTTCAACTTGTACCAGTGGAGCAACAAGAAGAAGATAAAGCTCGAATGAGATCTAGAGAGAGAGAGTAGGGGCGGCGTGTATATCTCGTGAATATGAGATTTCTCTTCTCTTCTCATGAGCTTAATGATGTATATATAGAGCTACAGTAGGGACCCTAAGGAGATTAGAAAAAGGGCTCCTTAATTAATTAGACTAACTGTGGGCCAAACCCACTCCTCTAATTAATTAAATAATATTAATGGGCCACCAACATTATATTATTGCACTCCCTTTCCCTAGCCCAAATTA